ATTCTTCGTAATCTAGAAGTTGATTAAGACATGAAATAGAAGGTCACTATCACGACCCAAACCTCCCTCTATGAGATGACGTGACGGCACCTAGTCTCTACGACAAGGTAAGCCTAACATTTGCGGAAATAACAAAAATGAAAGCAAAACCTCAACAACTAACTGCAATGGATATTTAAATAACCGATAAAAATGCCGATTGACATGTATAATAACCAACTTTCGAATACACACAGTATTCCCAAAACCCGGAACATCAATAAGTCACAAGCTACGGAAGAAATCTAGTATCTCTATACACTAGAGTCTAAGAAAAAGTACGGAAAGGTAAATGACATACGAGGGAATAGAGGGGGACTCCGAGGTCTGCGGACGCGGCAGATATACCTTGAAGTCTCCAAGCTGTCTCTGCTCACTGATGACGTGGCTGATAAGAAGTACATGGATCTGCACATATACATGTGCAGAAGAGTAGCATGAGTACACTACAACAGTACCCAGTAAGTGCCAAGCCTAACCTCGGTCGAGTAGTGACGAGGTCAGGTCAGGGCCTACTGATATATATAATAAATAAGGCAGAAAATATTGTAGTGTAATAAAGACTGGAATTTAACTAAGAAGAAATCACCGAAAAATAACAGTACAACACACAGGGGTAAACAGTAGGGGATCTCCCAAGATACCTAATCGTAATCCCAAAAGTAAATATGCAGGGGGGAATCTCCCGAGATACCGTCTCGTATTCCCAAAGTATATATGCAGGGGGATCTCCCGAGATATTGTCTCATAGTCTTAAAGTAAATATGCAGGGGGATCTCTCGAGATATCGTCTCGTAGTCCCAAAGAAAATATGCAAGGGGGATCTCTCGAGATACCGCCTCATACTCCCAAAGTAATACGCATCTCAAAAACAATGGAAATAACAGTTACATCAAGAAATTCTATAGTTTAAACTAAGTACAAGTCAAGGAAAAGGCAGGAAATCCACTAAGCATGTTGCACAGAGTTTAGATAAACATTTATGACACGTAAACATGCGATATTAGGCTAAACAAGATAACTACACATGCTAGTATAACTCAATTAAGATAAACAGATTATTACTCAGTAAAAATTGGATTTTTCAACAAATAGCCCGTGTACGCACTCGTCACCTCACGTACACGGCACTCACATATCACAACAATACCAAATCCTAAGGGGATTTCCCCTACACAAGGTTAGGCAAGCCATTTACCTCGAACCAAGCTCAATCAATAATTAACAATGCCTTTTTCATGATTTTCCGAATCCGAACAGCCCAAATCTAGCCAAAAGCAATTACATACCATAAATATAAAGATCAGAAATACATCTAATTAATGAAATCAAGGCCTAAGCAAGAAACTTGAGAATCGCCCCTAAAGTCAACCCGGGCCCACGTCTCGGATCCGGGTAAAAGTCACAAATTTGAACCCCCATTCACTCACGAGTTCACTCGTACGAAAATTATTCGAATCTGATATCAAAATCCGAATAAAAACTCATAAACTTACTTGAAGAACTTTCTAACTTTCCCCCCAAATTTCTCAACCAAAATCCTTAATTAAATGATGAAATCAACTATAGGTTAGTGGAATATAACTAAAAAAGCAATTAAGAATCGTTACCCTTTCTCTTCAAATAATGGCCCAAATCCGAGCTCTCGAAGTCCCAAAGTGAATAATGGGATAAAACCCTTGATCTTATCCTTTTCTGCCCAACGAGTCTCGCACCTGCGAGCTCTTAATCGCACCTGCGACGCCGCACCTGCGGAAAAATTATCGCAGGTGCGGATTCCATTTATGGCCAGGATTGCCATTTTTGCGGACCAGGGATCGCACCTGCGATCTCACTTCTACGGAGACCCTTCCGCTTCTGCGATCCCAAGCCTCCCAGGCCTCTCCGCTTCTGCGTTCTAGCTTCCGCAGAAGCGACTCCGCTCCTGCGGCCTTTATGTCGCACCTGCGACCACATGCCAAGCTCCTCCAGACCACACCTACGATCCTTCTCTCGCACGGGCGTGCCCGCACCTATGGTAGGGAGACCCACCACAGGTGCGAGAACACCAGAAGCTTCAAAGCTTCAATAATTAACACAAGTCTATTTTCGATCCGTTAAGCATCCAAAATTCACTCGAGGCCCCCGTGATCTCAACCAAACATACCAACAAGTCCTAAAACATCATACTAACTTAGTCGAGCCTTTAAAATCACATCAAACAACGCTAAAAATATGAATCACCCTCCAATTCAAACTCAATGAACTTTGAAACTTCAAACTTCTACAACCGATGTCGAAACTATCAAATCACGTCTGATTGACCTCTAATTTTGCACACAAGTCATACTCGACATTATGGACCTACTCCAACTTACGGAACCGGAATCCGACCCCGATATCAAAAAATCCACTTTCGGTCAAACTTCCTAAAAATTCAACTTACGCCATTTCAAGCCTTATTCAGCTACAGACCTCCAAAACACAATCCGAACACACTCCTAAGTCCGAAATCACCCAAAGGAGCTAACGGGACCGAGGAAACTCCATTCTAGAGTCGTCTTCACACAGTTCTAACTACGATCAAAGTCCTAGAACTTAAGCTTTCGTTTTAGGGACTAAGTATCACAACTCACTCCGAACCAACAACCAAGACCTCTTGGCAAGTCACATAAGCAGAAAAAGATGCGAGAAAAGTAGTAAAATAGGGGATTCAGGCTATTACTCTTAAAACGACCGGCTGGGTCGTTACAGTCAAATAATTCTACAAGCAATAATTAATCGTATAACTTACCCCCGAGAATGATTAACCTTGCCACATGCATACGGTCGTCACCTCATATATGCATCATCCCCGCGTATAGCAAATAATGGTAATTAGTAGGAAAAATTCCCTCAACAAAGTAAGGCAAGGCACTTACCTCAAACAAGCCCAATTAATACACTAGAAGCACCATCCCGCTCAAATCATCCTCCGAACGGCTCGAAACTAGCCAAAAGCAACTAAAAATCATCAAATAATGCCATAGGAAGCAAACCCAATCGAAAAAGGTCGAATCATTACACATTTACTCAAAGTCAACAAAAAAAGTCAAATGGGGGCTAGCACCATGGAACTCGATAAAACTCATAAAATCCGACAACCCATTCACTTACGAGTCCAACCATGCTAATTTCACTCAATTCCGACTCCGAATCGATGTTCGAAACTCAAAAATTCACTTTAGACAAAAACCCCCAATTTCTCTTTATAAATTATCAATGAAATACCAAAAACGAAGATGGAACTACGGAATATAATCAAAACCGAGTAGAAAATACTTATCCCAATTCATGTGGTGAAAATGCTCTCCAAAATTATCCAAATCCGAACTCCAAAACCATGTGAGAAAAAGTGACTAAATTCTGGAATAAGTAAAAAAATGTTGCAGTTGTTATAGCTCGAATCAATTCAAGATAGCCCCAAAACTCACATTTGATAATCCCAAAATAATCCTTGCGAGATTACAGCCAAGATAGCCTTTTGAGTGACCCAATTTGGCCTTAAAATGAGGGAATTATGATATTTTGATATTTTAAAGGAAATCTGAAAATTTAAGAGACAAAAATGACATTTTTGTAATTATTTTACACCAGAAAATCAGCAACAAAAAGAATTTTCGTTTTAGCACCCAAAACTCATTCGGAACCTCCCGTACACAAACCATATAGGTATTTCAATCATAAAATACGCTACGAACCTGCTCGTGCACTCAAAACATCGAAAAGAGGTCATCTTGACCCGATATTGATCCTGGTCGAACTCCAAATCCTTAACTTAACTAGTTTCTCAACCAATGATCCAAAACACATCCGAACCCCTCGGGACCCCATTCAATCATACCAACAAGTCCTAAAATACGATACGAAATTATTCGAAGCTTCAGATCACATCGAACAATATAAAAATCATGAATCGCACCTCCAATCAAACTTAATGAACTTTTGAACTTTCAACTTCCAAAACTCGTGCCGAACCGTATCAAATGAACTCGGAATGACCTCAAATTTTGCACACAAGTAAAAAATGACATAACAAAGCTATTCCAACTCCCGAAACTAAAATTTGAATCCGATATCACCAAAGTCAAATTCTGGAAAAACTAATGAATATTCCAAAACTCTAAATTGTCAGCTTTCGCCAATTAACGCTATAACCTTCAAGAAACATCCAAATGCAAATCTGGGCATATGCCCAAGTCAAAATCACTATCCGGACCTAACGGAACCATCAAAACTCCGATCCGTGGTCAAATATACAAAAGGCAAACTTGGTCAACTCTTCCAACTTAAAGCTTTCTAGTTGAGAATTATTCTTCCAAATCAACTCCGGATCACCTGAATACCAAAACTGACGATTCCACAACTCATAATACATCATATAAAGTTACTCCAGGCTTCAAACAGTTGAACGGAATGCAAATCCTCAAAACTACCGGTTGGGTCATTACAGGGAAGCTTCAAAAGGGGAAACGAGACTCAAATACACTAAACGACCGACTAGATTGTTACACAATATGTTTGAAAATTATTTGTAGAGGGACGAGAGGACTCAAAATCTGTCAAGTCCTCATGAAGACAAATGAGGTGGTAATTCTTCCTTACATCACTAAAAACATGTACCTATGTAATACATGTATCATAATTTAATTCTACACTTTTTTTATTCCCTAGTTCAATAATAAAATCATACATGCATCTTAGTTAATTTTCTAGTGCATCAACTAGGTAATTCATGTACTTGATATGCATCTAGTTTACTTTTTTCTTTCAACAATAACAGGACATCAGTCAGAATTTTTTTTTCGGACAATCTGTTTTTGTGTTTGGTAAGGCCTACAAGAATTCATGACAATGAGCCATATGAGAATGTAAACATTAGCTACGTAGTTTCTAAATGAATGAAACGTGCTGGTTTTTTTTTTACTTTTATATCTTTGCTTAATTTAACTGATTACAACAAGAATAAAAACCAGTTACGTACATAGTATATAAAAGCACTTCTCACCATATATAAAACAACCACTTACAATCTATATCCAGGTGATGCTACAACCTTTTAATTTCAATAAAGTCCAGAGATCAAAATCTACTGCAGACATTGAAATTCTTTAGATGAGGTGCTATTGATGACGTGCTCTGCGACATAATAATATGCTTTTTCTGTAAGATGTATACCATCCCAGTGCAAATATTTTGCAGAATCAGAACAAGCTTGAACTTCAGATGTTCCACAAAGAATATCATCGTCATAATTATATTGACCTCCAATTCCACAGCACGCTTTGAGTATGGATTTCTTATTGAATCCAAAATAGCTGGGGCGTTCCAGAATTGATTTCACAGCAGCATAATAATCTATATATTTAATCGCAACGTTCGAATATTCAAGTTTTAGTATAGATAGAGCCCTCTCCAAATAATCATTGTGATACATGACTAACTCATTGTAGGCTTTCAAACAACCAAACTCATCATAATCTTCATAATCCAAGCTTGAGAACATGGTAAGGTAGTAGGGGAAGCAACCCAGAGGATAGATCCCTGGAACAACTATACGTTTTGCCCCGTATCTGATCACTTGTTTAATGCCTTTTACTATGGTCTTGACTATATGTGGGACAAAAGTTATAGCTTCTTCAATGGATTTTCCCGCTGAAAGTGCTAGGTAATAATCATTTCCTCCAAATTCACCAAACATAAATAGAGATTTTCCAAGAACTTTTGAACACTTTTGTCTAGTGTGGCATGTGGTTTTTAAGTAAGTTGTCAACCAACGAAGTTGAGCTCTGAGTGGCCTGTTGTCTTGTGTCGTGGTAATATTTCTAGCTACATAAAAAGGATCATTTAGAACTGTAGCTCCTCCTACTGCGCAGTTTACTCCATAGCTAAAATTAGCTTCTTTGACCATGTAAGGGTTGAGAAGTGGAAGCTTAAGAGACATAGCAATATAGTCTATAACGAGACGGCCATCAGAGAATCTGCCAGTGGGTTTTCCAAAGAACTTTTCACCATAAGGAAAATGGTCTGCACGGTAAGAGGATTTTACATTAGATATACGGAATCGATTTCCAGTATCTGCAAGTGAATCGCCAACTTGGAAAATGTATTCATAATTAGGGCAACTGTTGTTATTATTATTAGCAGCATAAGCAAAAGTTAAGGAAGATAGAGCTGCAGCTAAAAGGAAAAAAGAAGTCGGAACTAAAGAAGCCATTTGCAATATGCATACGGATGTTAAGGCGAGGTAATATATTTAAAGACGGGGCTTTTGAAATCTTCTTGAAGTATATTATAGGTGGTTAGGATGTCCTTTTTGCCTTTTCTTCTTTCTATGATATTCATAGTGATGTCGTTTTGAAAAAAAGCAAAAATTGTTACCGCAACATCTTAAATAAAAGGTGAATATCTTTCCTGCTACGTACGTACTTTGAATTAGTCCATGACAAACTATTTTTCGTTACTTTAAAGCCCGTTTGGACATAGAATTTTTTTACTTTTTTCCAAAAAAAAATTCACTTTTTTTCAAAATTGCGTTTCGCCGTAAAAGTTCCAATTTTTACTTAGAGATGAATTTTGGAATTTCTCGAAAATTTGAAAAACTCCATTAAACTGCTTTTTAAAATTTTCACTCAAACCACTCACAAAACTTCAAAAACAACCCAAAATTATATTCATGTCCAAACACAACTCTAATTTTCTAATACCATTTTCACTTGAAAAAAATTTCACTATTTTTTTTGGAATTTTACAATTCTTATGTCCAAATGCCCACTAAGTATTACTAAAAGAATCTATATCTATCTATATTATTATAAAAGCACGAATAATTTATACTAAATGTTGAACGACAAATATATCCCTGAAATATTAGACTTTTATGCCCTCAATATTGCATATTTTTCAAATGAAAATTATTTCATATTGGATAGAATTATAATAACTAGAATTTATATACGATGCACACTAGGATTCATATTCTTCAACGAATTTATTTACTAATAGGATTCATATTCAAATGCTTATAAGACGTTTTTAGTATCATACTCAAAAGGTTCTTATTAGATTATTTATGGAGTTAGCAAGAAAAAAGTGTGGTAGCTAAATTCAAGGAAGAACAGAAAAGGAGTTATTTAAGTTTCGATAATATTTTTACTTTCAGCATATTCCAGTTGAAAGTACAAGAGGGGGGTGAATTGTAAATACTTCAAATTAATTACTTATAAGTTGACTTAAAACTTGAGTAGTCGCCTGAATATGATAATTTAGCAGATATGGTAACGGAAAGTAAAATGCAGAGAATAATTGCAGGAATTAAAAACACCGGAATTTTTATACTGGTTCGGATTCAATGTGAATCCTAATCCAGTCCCCTTGGGTTGCAAGGGAGTTCTCTTCAGTAAATTAGTTTCTTCCAAGTACAGATGTGGTGTATATCGCTCAGTTTCTCTAGCACTCGTTTTTTATACAATGCCTCACCAGTTGTGTGCTCTCTTTCAATCCCTAACTTGTTACACAGCGGATCTTAGTGAACTACAATGCTTGTTTGCACTAGAATAAAGAGAGTGATTTGGTTTGATCAAAGTATATCTAAGCTAGGGTTTACAAGGATGTATAAATACTTTGATGGATGGTAGAGGATATTCGGGTTCGCTTCTCCATTCATTTGGTCGAATTATATTTGTAGTCGACTCGACTTGTGGGTCTGGAGTATTGCTTCTATTTTCTCCAGTTGACTCGATCACCCCAGATGTGCTAGTCGACTCCTGTGATTTTTCTTTGTCCTGAGCTTCTTGAGTTTGATCTTCGTCACCTGCAATAGTTCCTTTCTTGACCAAGGAATTATTTTCGTCGAATATAGCAAGTACAGATTCTTCTACACATAAAGTACGTTTATTGTAGACTCTAAAAGATCTGCTATTTAACGAGTAACCAAGAAAAATACCTTCGTCACTTCTTGGATCAAAATTTCCAAGATTATCTTTACCGTTATTGTTAATAAAGCATTTGCTTCCAAAGGGATGAAAGTAACTGATATTTGGACGTTTACCTTTCCAGAGTTCATAAGGGGTCTTCTTCAGAATTGGCCTTATGAGGCAACGCTTGATGATGTGACAAGCAGTACTTACGCCTTCTGCCCAGAAATGGTTTGGCAATGAATGTTCTAGTAGCATGGTTCTTGCCATGTCTTGGAGAGTTCTGTTCTTCCTTTCCACAACTCCATTTTGCTGTGGTGAGTGTGGTGCAGACAAAATTATGAGTGTATCCTTGATCGTTGCAGAAGTCTTCAAAAGCTCTGCTTTCAAGTTCTCCTCCATGGTCACTCTGAATTTTTGAGATCAGATATCCCTTTTCTCTTTCAACCTTTTTACAGAAAACTTCAAAATTTCTTAAGGCTTCATCCTTATGAGACAAGAAGATTACCCAGGTGAAACATGAAAAGTCATCAACAATAACAAAAGCATACCTCTTACCTCCTATGCTAGCAGTTCTAGTAGGCCCAAATAAATCCATATGAAGTAATTGCAAAGGTTTTGAAGTAGATACTATATCATTATTTTTGAAAGAATTTCGGGTTTGCTTACCCATTTGACATGCATCACAAATATGAGTTCTAGAGAAATTCAGTATAGGCAAACCAATAACTAAATCATGTTTGGACAGTTTTTCAATCAAATGCATGCTAGCATGGCCAAGTCTTCTATGCCATAACCATGGATCATCAGACATAGAGGATAAGCAAATGTGGCCATCTATCTTTTCAAATCCATCAAGTATATAAACATTTCTATACCTTTTTCCAGGAAGAATTATCTTACCTGATTCGTCTTCAATAGCACACCCTGTTCTTTTAAACTTTACCTCATATCCTGAGTCGCAGAGTTGACTTATGCTCAAGAGATTGTAGTTTAGGCCATCAACGAGATATACTTCAGTAATGTCATAGTTGTTATTGAAAGGAATTGTTCCAGTGCCAACTATTTTGCCCCTTGAATCGTCTCCGAATTTTACACTTCCTCCATCGATCTTTGTAACTTCCTTGAACAAGTTTTTGTCACCTGTCATATGACTGGAACACGCACTATCTAGATACCATTTTCCTTTGCGGCTTACTCTGTGGTGTTCCTGCAAGACAAGATGATCACTTTCTTTTAGGTACCCAAGCTTGCATGGGTCCTGGTGGGTTAGTGTTACTAGGTTCAGAATTTTTTTTGTTTCCAAACCCATCCTGACACATTTGATTTACGAAAGTGACAACTAGAATATTTATGCCCACTTTTATTACAGTAATGACATTTAGCTCCAGACCTGTTTATAGGTCTTTCATAGGTGTTAGAACTAGCCGACTTAGATTTAGCTGGTTCTGTCCCAGTTGACTTGTGAGTCATCTGGTTCGACCGACTGGTCGACTTGGTTCTGATTGGTTTTTTTCTAGTTGACCTGTAAGTCGTCTTGTTTGACCTAACAGAACTATGACTGGTGGATTTGTGCAAGCTGTTAAGCTGCAGTTGCAACTCCTCAAACTCTTCTTGAAGTACCTCTTTTTCGACTTCACATACTTCATGTTTGAGTTTCCAGTCTTTAACCTCCCTAGTGAGTCTCTTAAGTTCATTCATCATTTTTTGAGACTCTTTTAAGGTTGAATCAAGAATATCCGGCAATTCATTACATCTTTCGCAGTCATAATATCTTACCTCACTAGTTTCCCCCCGTGCCATGAAACAGTTCTCGTCATCTGAATCATCTTCATCTGTCCAGCATCCTGAGATTTTGTTTATTTCATTTTCCAAAATTGTTATGAAACAAAGATTTGCTATTTCTTCATGGTCTGAGTCATCCTCATGATGAGGCTGTATGGTGGGCCGGGCCCGGGCCTAAATGGGCTAAACGGGCTGGGCTAAACGGGCATGGGCTTAGCGGTCTCGGGCTCTAGCGGTCCCGGGCTTCACGGTCCCGGGCTTCGTGGGCTCAACGGGTAGGACCAGCTCGTGACGGGCCTAAGCCCATATGGTCCTGGGCTAAATGGGCCGGGCTCGTGGGCTTAGCGGGGCTAAAGGGCTTTCTTTATTTCCGGGCTTTTTTTTAAATTTTTTTTATTTAAGGCAATTTCTTGTAAACCATATATGTATGTATATATATAAATTGCTCTTATGCATGGCTATATAAATATATGTAGTATATATAATATAGAAATCTAATTATTAAAGTGTTTGACGTAAAAGTAAAATAACAAAACAATAGTAAAACTAAATTGGCATGCATAATAAATTAATAACAAAGTACAACATGAAGCATAAATACGTCTAATAATTTTAAAATAACACAAATTGTTGAAAAATCTTAAAGACGAATTTGCGGATAAATACCCTCAACACAATACTTTATATGCCTTCTTAAAATGCCTGTGGTACACCCTGAACGAAAATTTAAGACTCTTCCACAGTTCTTGCACTTTAATATTTGGCGTTCTTCATTTTCTTCAAGCACTTCATAGTATTGCGAAACAAATAAGCGCACTCTTTCCGAACGAGGCATGATTTAACTTGAATATTGAGATTGAGACTTGAAGTCTTGAAAATTGGAGATTGAGAGATTGAGAGAAATTTAAATTGAGTAATGAGTACTGAGTATTGAAATGAAGAAGAGGGAGGGGGGTACTTATAGTGTTAGAGAAGGTTAGTTTTGTAAATTGAAAAAAAAAACGGCTATTTGTGCAATATGACCGTTGGTGGTCATTGGGGGTGGGGCCCTCATTCTGAAAAATTTTGTTTTAATTGAGGCTTTTGCCTCTGCAAGTGTAGAAAATTCCTCAACTGAAAGATCTAAAGCCTTATAAATATTTGAGTACCAAAAGTGAGGACCTCCTAATTTCATTATAGGATTTAACATTGCAGCAACACCATAAATAGGGGGGGATAGGGAAAAAATATTTTTTAAACTTTTCTTTCATTGCATTTATAGCAAGTTTATAAATTTCCCCACCCTCCGAAAATTCAACAAACAAATCACATAGTGCTGCAATATAAACTAAACAATTTGAAATAGTAGGATAATATTGTCCAGAAAATGCATTTGTAGCAATTTGAAAATGTTCTAAAAAATCTATAAGAATTTTAACATTCGTCCAATCTTGATTTGTAAGGATTTCATCGTCATCCTCACCACCAACACGAGCATTAAACGTTGCATTAATTGGGTTTTTATATTCATATGCAA